ATGAATATCATAACTACACTACAGTACATGTATTTCTCCCCCTTACTTCTATCATTCTATCAAGCAATTATTAAACATCTAATACTTTTCCTTTACACCGTTTAACATAAGCACCCCAAAAGTTTTTCAAAACAATCATGTTAAAATTAGACAGTCACCATAAATGTGATTCAAATAGGACCAATGGAATTCAGGTATATTTAATCAGCTAATGCAATTTCTCCCACATAATTCTGTGATATTTTTGTCATATTCAGCAATTGAATATCTTCTAATTTCCATGTAAATTATTGAGCATAACAAAACAAAACAATAACCCAACTAGTCAACACATTTGCTAGTTAATGAAAGTTATGGTAAATTAAAGTTATTTTTCCACAAGATAAGATATCCACATTATCAGGGTGTAAACAATTTCTTTGAGCAGAGACAATATCTCCAGCAGTCGCAAACACTCGCTCACTAGGCACCGGGAATGCCTAAGTATTTCCTCGCTTGTAAACTTAGTTGAGGAAATTGAGATTCATTAGCTGCCCACCACAATGAAGAGCCAGAGTCCAATGGTGTTATGATGCCTTCCTGATAGGTTTTTATTTCATGCTGCAGATCATCTAACTGACTAGTGCTAGTAGTAATTTTGAAAAAAGTATCTCCAAGTAATTCTTCAAGAGCTGTTTCCTTTTTTGGCGGATCTTCACTGTCTAACCCATCAGTCAACAAAGCAATGCTTTCTGTTTCATTATCATCACACACCAGCAAATATAAAGATAGATTGCCAGGCAACAAAACATACGCCCACAGCAGTTAAGTCGTCTGAGCAGTCGACAAGGGTTGTCACATATTTATTCTTTTGTAGGTAATTAGGGGAATTTAATAGACAATTTCATACAGATGACATTATAATTTTCGTCGTTTGAGGGTTCACAAGTTTCTAAAAACTAAAACAAGGGCCATAACTCTGGAAGTAATCTACAGAAATTGTTCAAATTCTACAGGCTTTTTCGTTTTACTAATTCAAATAATGCATATAAATTTCATACAGATTGGATGATAACTTTTGTCGTTCGAACGTTCACAAAGTTCAACAAAGTAAATCAAGGGCCATTACTCTAGACGTAATTGACGGAAATTGCTGACATTCAATAGGCTTCTTCATTTCACTAATTTAAATGATGCATATAAATTTCATACTGATTAGGTGATAACTTTTGTCCTTCAAGCGTTCACAAGATTCAACAAGTTAAAGAAGGGCCATATTTAAAGATGTAATTAACAGAAATTTGCTGAAACTCAATAGGCTTGTTCGTTTTACTAATTTAAATGATACAAATTAATTTCATACAGATCGGATAATAACGTTTTGAGGAAATTACCACTGTTCGGTTGGTTGTGCCGTATTATTTATCAATATGGAGTTTCTGTTTTATGGATATTGCTATTGAAGGTAAGATGTAAAATTTACGCAACGTGGCACGTTTTTATAAATTTAATAAATGTCAAACGGTGAGTGCGCGTCTTTTTAGTAATAAAACAGAAATATATATCTGTTGTTTTTGCTGGATTTACTCTCTATATTCCCGTTTATATTCAAATTGGGCGCTGACTGCTGGGTATTTATAAATGACGACATTACATTCGCCTTTCCGTATACGATAGATTAAGGTCCGTATTTTTATTTCATTAAATTCAACTTTATATATATGGTACGCAATGCAAAAGACACGTAAGAGAAACGTAGATCATAGTGAGCACACGCCTGTCTAAAGACCTGTCTTTAATTATACAAAGACCTGCGTAAAACACACGGTCGAATGATAAATCGCACGGTAAAACAGTTTTACTTCCCAAATTTTGATTTAACACGTACGTGTCAGATAAAGCCTGTTGGTCCTTGATTATACTCCTTTTGATGCAGTTATCACAACTAGCGAAAAAACACGCCAATTAAACAATACACAACATTGAAATTCATTTTTTACCGGTCGGTTAATTAACACACCTCTACTGAAAACGCACTGTCGCACAGTTTTTCACCCCTAGCGTTAATTATCTCACCTCCCAGACAGTTTTTCACCCTTGTTAATTAACACACCTTATTTACAGTTTTAACGCGGTAATACCGAGTAATAGTCGGAAAATTAATTTTCTTTCGATACACGTACAAATAACAACTATGACGGAGATTTATATGGTGGCTGTGCACAGATTCATCCTTTAGCAGTTCTCAGTGTATGTATACGTATTTATAATAATCTGTGTCGGTATTGTGTTGCTGCTGTATGCCAGTGTAGACTGGCTTAGGGTTGGCACTTCAATGTCTCCACCAAAAACTTAAGTCTTACCCGATTTCCAATTTGAAAAAGCTTGTAGGTTGTTTATATTGAGATTATTATGCTGTGCACAGCCTTGGCCCATAATGTTCAATGAAACCAAAATCTTTTATGTTTGTTCTCGTGTGTTGTCAAGTTTTACGGTGATATCCATGTCGATAGCTCCTCTTTTCGTGTGAATGATGTATCCCTTTGTTGGGCCAGACAGCCCAGACTGTGATTGTATCTCAGACTGGTCTCTGTTTGGCCTATTTTGGGCGAAGAGGACTGCTTTTAATTTAAAGTAAACATCCCAGAAAGATGTTTCACACAACATGGTATTCTGTAATTTGTTTGTTTAACCCGTTAAGTGCGTTGTTCGTTATATAACGTCCTGGACAACTGCCACTCACTGTGTGTAGGGCGTAATAACGCCTTGGAGGTATTTTCCCCAACCTATTCTTAGAATATAGTTCGTCACTTGGGGGAATCCCTTGGGTATTTCCAGACGATCACAGCATGTGTAGGACGTTATATTACATCCTGGACAACTGCCACTCACTGTATGTAGGGCGTAATATAACGCCTTGGAGGTATTTTTCCCAACCTATTCGTAGAACATAGTACATAGTTCTCTGTCACTTCGTCAAATTAATTATAAAATAGGGGGTAGTTAACGTTTTAAAAACGTCACGCTTAACGGGTTAATATTTGACCCCATTGGACTGATATCACCCTTAATACTCCCTGCTAAATGTATCCTACAGAATCTATGTTAACATGGTTTTAGCTATCCCCGGTTGTAAGTGGCAAGGAGTAGGGTTGCCTGACCAACCTCATGGATTTCTCCGGGTCCTCCCACTACTAAAGACCCCTACTCGCAAGTGAATTATTGAAATAAAATTGAACCATGCAGCTTTGCACAATTCCCATCGCCCGAAGCCTGGGACAGGTCAATCATTTTGTTGGACAGCTGATATTTTGCATTCCGTCCACCCACGGACAGGTCGATTTTCTCTGACAGTAATTCTTTGAAATCAAACAATACTTTGTGATCATTTAAAGCATTTTCATGTGGACGTATATTGTCGTCGCCCTTGTCCGTCCACTATTGTTTGTGAACACTCTACAGGTCACAATTTTTATCTGATTTCAATGAAACTTGAAATATAGGTTTATCACCCTAAGATCTTGGTTCCTTTCGATATTGGCATGTATCGGACTGTAACTTCATGGATTATGGCCCCTGATTGTACAAAAAATCACGTTTTTAGCTTGTGAACACTGTAGAGGTCACAATTTTTATCCGATTTGGTTTAAACTTGAAATGTATGTTTATAACCCACAGATCTCGGATCCTTTGGATATTCGGCATATCGAATCATAACTTCCTGAATTATGGCCCATGATTGTACGAAAAATCACGCTTGTGGACCCCATAGAGGTCACAATTTTTATCCGATTGAAAAAACGTGTGAACATATCACCATTACACCATAAGAATGGTTGAGTTCGAATTTCGTAAAAATCGGACCAAAACTGACGGACAAAATGGCCGCCCCCCCGTTCGCAAATAGTGTCAAAATATTGCGTATCAGTGTTGCTCTGGAGGACACAATTTTCATCTGATTTTGATGAAATTTGAAATGCATATCGAATCGTAACTTCCTGAATTATGGTAAATGAATATCTTCCTATATCGAACTCGGCCGTTGCTATCAAAACGGCCGACAGAACAACACAAACTTTTACTGATGTTTTTTCCTTTTTATGCCTCCATTTATGGTTCTTGTTGTCTATTACAATTATAACGTCTTATACATTATTGATAATAACATGGACAGGTTGAAACAATATTGAAACATTTGGATGCTTAAATATTTGTGACCGGCCACAGCTAAATGAGTCGGAATGCGCACGAATCAATAATGAGATAAAGACAAAATAAGTGAAAATATTGATTTTGATCGAAATTGAGATTTTCACAAAAATGAGTCTATAACTATCTATCTATCGACACAAAAGATCAAAATAGCAATAAAACATTTTAAAACACCTGTATTTGAACGTTTTGTAAGAGTATCTTATTCTTAAATCTGTCCTATTTCTTAAAATTCTCGGCGAAATTAGTTATTTTCTTAGCTCGCAGCAGGACAACCGGTCATTCCTCTTGCATAATAATTGGCATCGTTGTAGAGCCGAGCATCTCTAGTTTACAAATATGATCAAAATATTGTCCATGAATTGATTTTGATTGGATACAATCGAGTTTTAAAACCCCCAAAAAATATAAATAAACTCCGCCTGTTGCCATGCTGTGTACACAGCTGTCTAGTCCTTCGGATGAGATGAGAAACCGAGGTCCCGTGTATACATTCGAATGCACCTAAAAGATCCCTTGACAGTTGGAATTCGATATAAGAGTAGGCGATAGTGCCACTGCCCAGGCAAAATTACCCTCATAGCACACTGTATGGCGTATGCCCGTCTTCATTAGCCCAGCATAGGAGCAGAACATTAGGACGTTAAACCCCACTTCATTTCATTTCATTTTTGCGACCCATTTGGGTCAATTTCTAGGTCCCAAATATTAGCGATTTAGCTCCTTTAAACTTCTAAATATACAGATTGCCATTGCCAAACTTCCAACAGCTAAACAAGTTACTAATATGTATATTGTTTACTTTCCAGATATAAAAGTGCAAACTGCAGTTTAACATGTCAATGACTCAATGTGGGGACTAAGGTCTGAATATATCACCGTTACACCGTAAGGCGACATAAAAAAAATTAGTTGGTGATCGTCCCCGCCCACCAGCCCAGAAAAATCTATACGACCAGAATGTTTTTTTATTCTTCATTTTCAAAATTTACCCTCTTAGGCCTACAATGTTTAGATGGTGAAAGTGTCAAAATGTTGCTAGACTACGAAATTCCTAAGCTAGCGTGATCCGTGGCGCCATCGTGGACATGCCGTAAACAATATCACGCATGCGCTGTTCCTCACATAGTTTACAACACATTTTCATTTAGATGTTTTCCAAGCTGTATTGGTGGGCAATATTGAGTGACGATGATCGACAATCGTTCGTCAAAGTGATTGTAGGCAAATCTAAAAGTGAACTGACTAAAGTTTCATCGGCCTCGATGATATCAGATGTTATTCTTCACCTTGGGTCGTTTATCAAATACTTTATTTTGCCAGCAAAACAATCTGTCAATGACGTCAAACCATACAACGAATGGTCAAATGCGTTCAATATTCTCATGGCTTCTGCCGTTGAAAAGTCGAAGCCGTCCAGTCTACCACCTCGTTTCGACGAAAATCATCACCAAGGAAAAAAATGACATTCTGAAATGGTTGGAAAAAAACTGTTTGGGTTGGTCACAAGATTCTGTAAATTCACTTGAGTTACCATTTGTAAATGCACTGGCCAGTGCTATTTGGTACATAGATAGAAACCATGAGACACTGAAAAAAAAGAGGATGTGTAGTTCCAGTTGCCATACAACATTTCTCTGGCTACAGATTTCCCTGAGAGGCAGAAAAAGAGAACGTTGAATGAATCGATTCTTCAAAATGACCAGATCAAGGCTCACAGTTCTGCTCTCTTCAATTTGGCAATGGTTTCTTATCTCAAGAAGGATGCTTGGAAGTCTGTCCATTCTGCTGTCCTGGGACTGGCTGCATGTCTACGAAAATATAGCAGCTACCTGACTAGTCATGCGAAAAAGGTAAGTACATGAATATATGTAGGTCTGAGCCCCTATATATACTAGTATACACTATAAAAAGTGATTCGGAGACGATGTACATTTAAGGTGGGTCTATCAAAACGCCCTTTGTTTCTATTAAATTTGCCTGGATTTTCTCTTGCATTTTTATTCATGATTGGGTCGTTTGCAATATACCTACTGCTACAGTGCATGTCACTATATTGTAGCTTCTTGCAATATTCTGTGCAACAGTTTCAGACTTCAGAAAGCTTCATTTAATACTGGGGATTTTCGAAGGCACCATTTGAATGATATTTTGTTTACAAGCTAATTTCAATTTATACATGTACAATTAAGGATGTAACGGTTCAAAAATTTTTGAACCGGTTAACTGGTCGTTAAAAACCCAACCATAACCGGTTAACCCATAAAAAATTTCTATCAAAATAAGACTTGATAATATATTTTTAATTTATTAGTATTACAGCTTTTAAGTTAACAGTCAGTACAAATTCCATACATTCATTCATTCTTGATGTTTCATTTCTCCATCTTAATTTGCACGCTGACAGGTCACGTAATGTGACGTATAGACCAGTGGCAGTTGAATTAAAATCATGTTGATTTTTTTTTTTTTTTTTTTTTTTATAAAAGCTTCAATAATACTTCATAAGATTAATTATGAAATCAATATTTGAAAGCATACCTTTGGATTTTTAAATACAAAATAAGTTTGATTATTCAACATCATCTAATTCCAAAGAATTTACTACATGTGTTGCTATCACAAGCCATGCTGTATCGTATGGTAACAGTGACCCGTATGTCAACTTTGACCCCACAGCATTGCGCACTCGATTGATAATATAAACAATTTTACTATTCTTTTTTAATATTATTTCATCACATCATACTTGTTACCTTTTGAGACTTTGTTTATGGAGTGATGAGGTTAATACTGTAAAACAATTAATCTGTCAATCAGTTGAGGCTATTTAATGCTTGGCAGCGAGTGATAATAACGTATACAAATTTAACAAATGTCAAAACTTCGAGCGAGGGGGGGGGGGGATTTAGAGTCATTAACTTCTCGAGACTTATTACAAATGACAAGTGCTATTTGAAATATTTATGTGGTCTCAGTGAAAGAAAACAATGTTGTGGCTATCATTCCTGTGTTTGAAAGTCAGGTATCATATGAAAACGAATACCGATTAGTAATTTTTTGAACCGGTTCAACAGTGCAACCGAACCGTGACCGGTTAACCGAGTGACCGTTTACATCCTTATGTACAATATAGCTGAAAATGCTAATAATATCTTTTTAATTTCAGGTAAAGGAAGACCATGCTAGATTATTCATAAATGAAAAAGAACATTTCAAGGTACTTCACAAGTCCAACATGATTAATCAAACTGTTTCTGCGCGATACAATAGTTTACATAGTGCGCTTTTAAAAGTCATGGAGGGTGAACCAATTTGTGTGAATGACTTTACAAATTTGTACACGAAATGCAGGTTCCTACAAACTTTCATTTTTTATGGAGAGTATCAGAATTCAGTGAACAGGATGAATTGATAAACGAAGCCACAACCATATCAAAGGAAATTATAAGAGAGCTCCCTGAGTACTATAGCAGGGCACTCAGAAACGAGATCATACAGTGCTTTGGACAGGCTACAAATTACAAAGCAGCTTTCCTTCGTGAAACATACCATAGACTTACTGGTGATTGTTCTTCACCTGAAACAACTAGACAATCAGAGGTTGATGATCGAATAAATAAAATTCTAGACGAGGAGGATCTAGACCGGGAGCCCAGGGGGGTCAACCTAGCTGAAAAGTGTACCAATTTTCTCCTATATGGTATCAATGTATGTATATCTGGTATCATCAGAATGTAAGTCTGCCGGGTTTCTGGTGGTGGGTGGGGTATTACACGCCCTACATGCCATGATCCCCAACTAGGCTAGATTAGCTCAAAAGTGTACCACACGAAAATCTTACTGCAGTGTAACATACATCTTCGGGTATTACAAAAACACTCTGACAGACATTTCTAGTGGTGGGGTACCCCTGACAGAGCTATGTAATTGCCAGACATTTGTAGTGGTGGAGTATCCCTTACAAGAGTTATCTAATATTTAGACCAAAGCTGTTTTAGGTGGTACAGATTTGAGCTAATCTAGCCTAGCTTTGGTCTGGAAATTAGATAACTCTTCAAGATTCAAGCACGCCAGTTCCGAGCACAACATTTAGATGCCCATTATGTCTCGGCTCTTTTCAGATATGAAAAATAATTTGCGGTGAAATTCAGAGGCCATGTATCATTTGTAAGTCTCGATGATAAACACACTATCAAGATAGGCGAACCTGGCTGTCCAGTTGCTTCGGTTGAAAGAGGAAAAAGTGTCATAGTGTCCATGGGAAAGAAATTTGTTGTGTCTGATCATGACTTCACTCATCTGAGCCTCACCCCTAGTGTGTCTTGGGTGATTGACATCCCAGAAACAATTGAAGAAAGTTTTCACAGGGGCAGAGTATTTGTAGTTTTGAAAGAAAATGCTTTCCAGCCATCATCCCCTATCCGTCACATGACTGAACTGAAACAACTGTTAACTCAAATCGGACTGGTCAAGCCCATTCTGTCTATGTACACTGATGGCGGACCAGACCACCGTCTCACATATCTCTCAGTCCAACTGTCACTTTTGGCTATCTCCTTGGACTTGGATTTGAACTTTCTATGTGCTGTCCGAACGCTACCACAACACAGCTGGAAAAATCCAGTTGAGAGAATTATGAGTGTCCTCAATCTCGCGCTACAGGGTGTTGGCAGTATGCGTGAAGAGGTTGAACATGAACAGGAGCTGAAACATTGCAATACACTCAAGTCTATTGGAGAGCTTGCAACCAAGGTACCAGAAATTAAAGATGAAGTTATTGGTAGTGTCCGTGCCAATCGAAATTTGATGAACTCTATGATACAAAGACTAAAATTGAAAGACCACAGTTTTAAAACTGAGGACCCAGGAAATGACTTCTCTATGGGAAAATGTGTTACAGGTTAGTATAAATGAATAATTATCAGAACTTGTTGATGCATACATTGTAGTGACAATAGAGAGCAATGGTTTGAATATTGATTTGGATAGAGACTACAATATGTTACATATTTAAATCTATATGCGACACTTTTATTTAGTCAAATGTTTTGTTTTTCACAATAAAAAGTAGTAAAAACTGGACTGTGTGAGCGGCTATGTTTCTTAAATAGTCACTTGCTTGTTTCATGTTTTGAAAATATTAAACAGACTGGATTATCTTTTTCATTTCAGATTGATGATTCATTGAGTGTTAATGATCGCACCAAGCAACACATCAGAGGCAAAGACAAATTCAGGGCCTTTCTTGAGAGTCACTGTAAAGTATGTCAGCACATGTTCAGCATTCTGAAATGTAATGAACTTACCTGCTATGTTTGTAAACTTCCTCGTTTGCCACCAGATGTCTTCTAGGAGATTCGCCACTTACCTGATCCTACACCAGATGGTAGAAGATACAAACAATTTGATGAATTGTATGGAAAGGTATGATTTCAATGTTTAACAAATTAAATGAACCAGGAATGTGCATTGCAGTGAGAGTATCACAAAAATGGAAATTTCAAAATCAAGCTGAACTCACAAATTTTCTGGCAGTTATTTTAACTCTGCTCAAATGAAATTTCAGTTTGTGAATTTGTTTTCTAACCCCACAAAAGATACAATGGTGATGTTATAATCATGTACTGTAAGTAAGATGTTTAACTTTCATTTTAATTCACAATCATGTATTATTATGGCGCCAGTATGCTTGCTAATCATACATGTTTATTAGTTATGTCCATTATATGTTTCCATACTAATGTTGAACTGTAACCTGGCCTTCACCTTTTGGCCTGCCTCGTTTTGGTTTGTACCCTCATGATGCCCGCCATGTTCTTTAAATAAACAACTACAATTTGACCTTCACAGTTGAGTCGTCTGATTATTCCTGATCTTACTGACGTGGTGGCTAAAGCTGGGATTTTTCATTGAACCTACAGTCAGCGGAAACAACCAACAGTTTCAGAGTCAACTCAGTTACACGTAAGACTTGTAATTTTCCAAATCAGATACGCCAAAAGCGAGCGTGGTAGACTCAACTTTAAAACCATAAGAAGCAGGGTCATTTTGTTACTTATCAAATATGACGAACAACAGGGCATCGAAACAATGGTCCCTTACAGCACATGAGTCATTAACGTCATACGAAGCATGGCAGTCTAATATACTATATTTTGATTCCCGATCAAAATTTCACTAGTTTCCTTGCCACCTACGCCACCTGGTTAAAGAAATCCTCTGTCAACCCTAATCGGGGATTTGTTAACGACGATAAGACCGTTCCCGCTGCCAACCGTCGAACTGCTCAACAAAAAAGTCAAATGCTCGACCTTATGCTCGGACAAATTGCAATTATGCTCCAGTAATTTCGAGAAACACCATAGTTCGATCCTCAACCTCTGTTTCGAGTATATGGCATGCCTTGAGATTACACTATGGCTTTCAAACAACTGGAGGACACTTTCTAGAGTTTGCCGACATCAAGCTTAAACCAGAAGAGCGCCCTGAAACTCTCTTTCAGAGGCTTATGTCTTTTATAGAAGACAATCTTGTCAAGCTAAATGGAGGTCTGACCCACCATACCAAACAAATCAGGTCGGACGAAGAAGTATCTCCTACATTGGAAAACCTCATTGTCTTATTTTGGCTTCTTCTGCTTCATGAGGGCCTCCCTAAACTTGTCCGCCAAAGATACGGTACTGAGCTTCGTCATTGCACACTGGCTTCAATCAAACCAGAAATCTCCCAGGCCTTACCTTCTCTCCTGGACGAACTTTCCTCAACAGACGAAATGAGAATAATGCGTTCTTCTTCCAACCACAACCCCTGAAGCTTTAAACCTACACCCAGTCGTCGTTCCAATACTAGACAGAAGGGTTTTCACCAAATATGCCCTATTTGCTGACAAGCAGGCCGGTCCGATTATCGACATTATCTAAGCAAGTGCGAATACTTACCTGACGCAGATCGCCAATTTTTGTCAAAAGCCAGAATTGTCCTAGGCATCGAAGACGACGATGACTAAGAAACTGTAGAAGAAACCCCACAACAATTAGACCTTAAAGCCCGTCAAGTCTCAAGGCGAGTTACTCCTCGTCAGTCACCTTATTTTTCTGCATTTTATCAGCACCACACCTTATGCCTCACACTTGATACCGGTGCCGAAACAAACATGATACGTGCATCTGTGGCGTCTTCTATCAATGCCAAAGTGGCTCCTAGCACACAGAATGCTCTTCAAGCTGATGGTCTCACCCCTCTAACAGTTGTTGTCGAAACTCACCTATCATTATCCAGAGATGGTATAACCCTTCAGCTAGACGCCCTAGTGGTCGAAGAGTTGGATGTTGATGTCCTTGCTGGAACCCCTTTTATGACTCTTAATGATGTATCTGTACGTCCTTCCAAGAATCAAATCACCATCGGTGCCTCACATAACATCACTTATGGCATTGGTCAATTAACACCAAGCTCCACTGCTCACGTGGGCCTCCTTCGTGCCCCAAACACTACTACGACTATCTGGCCTGGTGAGCACATATAAGTTTCAATTCCTACCGAAATAAAGTCAAGCCCTGATCTACTATCAATAGACCCCACCTTAATGTGGCATATTACAGCAATCCTGGAACCCGTCGACAGCAAGATCCGTCTCATCAATCCTTATGACCAACCAATCACTTTGAAACGCCATCAACACTTTGGTCACGTTACACCTACCATCAGCCCTCCCCCATCACCACGTCTACCCACAACCACCCCTCAGGCCATCACAAAATCAACGACCCCTTATTCTGCATCGATTATGGTTGATCCAGACAACATCCTAAATACTCACCTCACACGCGACTTTAACCAAACCCACAGCCTGTTTGATCACGTGTTTGATCCTACCATTTCTCACTACAATGGTCATTTCGGAAAACTCGAAGCAACAGTAAATATGGGCCCGGTACTCCCCCCTCAAAGGAAAGGTAGAATGCCCCAATATGCTCGTAATAAGATGTCTGAACTTCAAGCAAAGTTTGATGAACTAGAGGCCCTTGGTGTAATCAAAAAGCCTGACGGTGATTTCCAACTAGTGACCGCCTTCGGCGAAGTCGGACAATACAGCAAACCGCAACCCTCCCTGATGCCAGATGTCGAAAGTACCCTACATACCATTGCCCAGTGGAACTACATCATTAAAACAGACCTTATCAAGGCGTTCTATCAGATTCCATTATCACATTCCTCGCTAAAGTATTGTGGTGTGGCCACCCCTTTCAAGGGTGTACGAGTTTATTGCCGTTCTGCCATGGGCATGCCTGGATCAGAAACTGCCTTGGAAGAACTAATGTCCCCGTGTTGGGTGACCTCCTAGCAGAAGGTGTTGTAGCCAAATTGGCCGACGACCTGTACTGTGGTGGTTCAACCCCAACTGAACTACTTGCTACATGGAAGCGGTTATTGCAGCTCTTAGACAAAGGTAACCTGAAACTTTCACCTAAGAAGACAGTTATTTGCCCCCAGTCTACAACCATACTAGGATGGATTTGGTCTAATGGAACCATCCATGCAACTCCCCACAAAATTTCTACCCTCAGCACATGTGAACTTCCCTCCAATGTAAAGGCTATGCGCTCATTCATTGGTGCGTACAAGATTCTTGACAAGGTTATCAAGGATTGTGCCAGCTACCTTACGCCACTGGAGGACTACATCGCTGGTAAAGATTCAAAAGACAAGATAGCTTGGAATGACGACTTGTCAGCTGCTTTTAGAACAGCCCAACAAGGCCTTCACACCAGTAACCACATCACCTGGCCTCGGAGCTACCCTGTATGTCTCTCGGAACGGCTCCTTACTCCTGGCAGGTTTTTTCAGTGCCAAGTTGAAACCACCTGGATACCTTGTGAAATCGAGGCTTTATCCATTTCTGCTTCAATTAAACACTACGCCCCTTATATTCTCCAGTCCAAACACCGCACATCCGTTCTGACTGACAGTAAACCATGTGTCCAAGCTTATGCCAAGCTTTGTAGAGGAGAATTTTCAGCCAGCTCCAGAGTAACCACCTTCTTATCGATCGTAAGCCGCTACCAGATTACTGTCAATCATCTTGCAGGGTCAGTAAACATGCCTTCAGACTTTTCCAGTCGTAATGCCCCAAATTGTGTCCATCCTAATTGTCAACTGTGTAACTTTCTACAGTCATGTGAAACCAGCGTAGTTTGTTCGATATCAGCAGATGACGTCTTACATGGATCTACCAGAATACCCTATACTACCCCATCAACCTGGTTACAATTCCAACAGGAATGTCCTGATCTATGACGAGTCCATGCCCACCTCACCCAGGGAACCCGCCCATCCAAAAAGTTAACTAACATCCCTGACGTCAAAAGATACCTACGTGTAGCAACAATTAGCTCATCTGGTCTTCTAATAGTTAAACATCAAGACCCCCTATCACCCATCCGGAACTGTACTTTACTACCTCGACCAGTCCTCCATGGTTTCCTAGTATCTCTCCACATTAGATTCAACCACCCACTGAAGCATCAGCTGAAACTGCTATTTAATCGCCACTTTTATGCTTTAGATCACGACAGAGCCATTAACGAAACAGTCGATGGATGTCACCAGTGTGTGTCTCTAACGAAAATCCCTAAAACACGCAAAAAGCAGTCTACCTCAGATACCCCTCCTCAACGGCTTGGAATAACATTTGCAGCAGACGTAATGAAACGGAATAAACAATTTATCCTCGTCTTACACGAGACAGTATCCTCATTCACTACCACTTGTGATGTACCTGATGAACGCAAGAGCACTCTATGTACAGCCCTTCTCCAGTTATGTCTCCCCATGGTTCCCCTTAATGCCCTTGTTACCATCCGGGTTGATCCCGCTCCTGCCTTCACTGGACTTCAGAATGATGAAACCCTCCAACAGTACAACATATCCCTCGACATCGGCCGACCCAAGAATGTCAACAAAAACCCTGTGGCTGAACGCGCCATTCTGGAACTCATTGAAGAACTTCTCCGACTGAAACCGGAGGGGGGTGTTATTACTCCTCTTGAACTTACAGTCGCAACTGCCCATCTTAACACTAAGATTCGCTCAAGAGGATTATCATCTCGAGAAATGTGGACCCAACGTGATCAGTATACCAATCTTCAAATTGAGACGTCGGACGACAAATTAATATCTGACCAGTTTGAGCAGCGGATTACCAATCATCCGTACAGTGAAAGATCTAAGAATCCGGGTAGGCCTCATCCGCCTGCTTGCCCTGTTGAAGCGGGTGACCTCGTCTACTTAACCTGTGATGGCAACAAGTACAACGCACGTGATCGTTACTTTGTACTCTCCGTTGATGGTCAATGGTGTACTCTTAGAAAGTTCGCCGGATCCCAATTCCGTTCCAAGGAATACCAAGTAAAGGTTACAGAATGTTACAAGGTCCCTCCATCATCCCCTTCCCCCTGTTCCAGTCTTCTAGACACAGACAGCGATACCGACGATTCCTTGACTGCTACGCCTATGCAGTCACCTACTGGTAGACCACCTCCAGTCCAGGCTCCTGTGGATACACAACAGCCTAAACCCCTAATGTTCAACCTTTCTTTGCCTGCACCACCTCCGTTGGAAATACCCCCGGAATTGATTCTCCCAGACCCTTCAACCCATCCTGATACGCCTGGTTCCAGTCCTCCCTCGCACAAGCCTGGCCCTGTCAACAATCAAGATGTACCCAAGAATCAGAATGGTTCAAACAGACGTCCAGTGAGAACTCGCCGTCCACCAACTTATCTGAGAGAATACGAAACTACTACGAAATGCTGATGTAATCATCATTTATTATACATGAACAGTTACAGTTTTATAAACTTTTATTTTCCACAAAAGAAAAAGTGGTCGCGCTAGTATGCTTGCTAATCATACGTGTTTATTAGTTATGTCCATTATATGTTTCCATACTAATGTTGAACTGTAACCTGGCCTTCACCTTTTGGCCTGCCTCATTTTGGTTTGTACCCTCATGATGCCCGCCATGTTCTTTAAATAAACAACTACAATATGACCTGCACAGTTGAGTCGTCTGATTATTCCTGATCTTACTGACGTGGTGCTAAAGTCTATTCAAAAACCTTTTTGTTTTGGATATTCCAGGTAGAAACGACAGAACAGAACCTTCCTTCGGCCAGTTCTGCTATAGAGAAAGGACATAAATGTCCCTTCAATCCAACATCCCAAACTGCCAAGAATGTTGGAACAGTCATTCAGTGTCAGGACTGCGGAAAATGGCGTTTCCACTCACAGCAAAAGTTACCAAAGAAATGAAATGAAATGAAATGAAATGAAATGGGTTTAACGTCCTACTGTTCTGCTCCTAACCTGGGCTGATGAAGACGGGCATACGCCATACAGTGTGCTATGAGGGAAATTTTGCCCGGACAGCGGCACTACGGCCTACTCTTATATCGAATTCCAACTGCCAAGGGAAGTTACCAAAGAAACAGCGTGATGGACTTGAGGCTCTTATGGAAACGTTGCTATACAGCTGTGGTAGTACCTTTAGTAGTGCTATTGATGGTGATGAGGACAATAATGTTATCCAACTGGTGTCTGTTAGGGCCAATTTAGCATGTAATTCAGATATTGAATATTTTTATTACTCGGCAGGGTATGAATTCATTTGTCTTTATTGTGGTGGAGAAGACAGTTTAATCCAGAAAGAGGGTTACTACCCCCAGTGTCAGGAATGTGCTGGTTTAAAAAAGCCATTCCGAAACGAGGAAAAAGAACTATTTAAATTCATATTAAAGCCACCGACTGTCATTGAAATGATTTGAATTTCTCGCAAACTACCGTTTTATGAAGATTGAATGTTTAAAAAGAAATAAAAGCTTTATTCCTGAAGTATTGTGTTTTCAATACATCCATTTAAGAAAAAAAAACAACCCAAAAAAACCTCCCTCCCTCCCACATTTTTGAAAAAAAAAAGGACGATCACCAACTAATTTTTTTTAAGTGGCCTAATGATGGTTGAGTTCGAATTTCGTGAAAATCGGACCAAAACTGCCGTACAAAATGGCTGCCCCTCATACACAAATAGATTAAATATATGGTATATCAAGGATGTGGACCCTCTAGAGGCCACAATTTATTACCCAAACATTTTGGTTCCTTTCAATATTCGTGCATATCGGATCATAACTTACTGAATTATGGTCCTTGACATTACCAAAAATCACGTTTTTAGCTTGTGGTCACTCTAGAGGTAGCAATTTTTATCCGATTTAAAAAAAAAAATGTTTGAATATATCACCGTTACACCTTAATGATGGCCGAGTTCGAATTTCATGTAATAAATTGGACCAAAATTGCCGGACAAATTAGCCACCCCTCGTATGCAACTAACGTAAATATATGGTATATCAAGGTTGTGGGCCCTCTAGAGGCCACAATTTTGATCTGATTTTGATGAAACTTGAAATACATATTTATTACCCAAAGATTTTGGTTCCTTTCAATATTCGTGTGTATATCGGATCATAACTTCCTGAATTGAATGAAAATAATAAGCCGTCCGGGCTGAATGAAAATAATAAGCCCGCGAATGGAAATAATAAGCCTAAAACCAAATTACAGAGTGCAGGTGGAAGATAGGGGAGGTGGTGGGCTTAACTTAACCGTTAAAATTTTGCGGTCTGAAGAAATTCTGTGCGAAGCTTAGTGGCGAGACAAAGAGGAAGGAAACAGAAGTGCTGTACAACTGGCGGGAAAAGGAGAAAAGAAACACGAGTGCCTGTAAAAGAACAGCCCGATCACAAAAGCTATTACTTCATAATATTTATTTAGAAGTTATTGTCCCCTGTCCGTCTGTCTGTCTGTCCGTCCCACTTTTTGGGACACAATAAATCTCCTTCTAATTGGGCTAGAATGTTAAAACTTGGTGTAGGTGTTTATTAGGTCAATGCCTTGATGGAGTTGGAAGATGAGCAGTTTTTGCTTAGGGTAAGCAGAGATAAGTAATTTGATTGGTTGATGCTTTGGGACATGATAACTTTAGTTCTATATAAGCAATTTGATTGGTCAAGACTTTGGAACATGATAACTTTAGTTCTAAATAAGCAATTTGATTGGTCAAGACTTTGGAACATAACAACTCTGTTTTTAATTAAGGTAGAATGTTTAAAATTGATGTAGATGTTCATTAGGTGAATGTCCCGACTGAGTTCAATTTCATTGGTCAATGCTTTATGACAAGATAACTTTAATTCTATCTGATAGAGAGTGTTGGCTTGTTTTAACTAGTGATATGACACTCAAAAACCTAATAAAGGCGGATCGTAGATGGGTAACCGATGGGAAGATCCGCGTGATGTAATATACGTGTATAAGATAGACAGTAGCTGTCATACCTTGTTATAGTAGAAACGAAATGCCCAATATCAATTAGTGAAAGGTGAAAGATCAGCAATAGCTCAGCATATTATGGAAAACCCTAATCATACCATAAAATGGAGAGACCAACAGATTCTCGCCAGAAATATCAAATCCAGCAAACTGTTACATATCCGCGAAGCTATAGAAACCCGTAGACACAACCCGACAATTAATAGAGACACTGGTCTATTTATATTCAACGCATGGGATGATTTGATATTTTAAAGTCTGTGTGCTAGGTGTTTAACTACTTTGAACGTCATTAACGTTTAACATAGGCTTGTTCATTTCACTAATTGAAATGATGCATATGAATTTCATACAGTTTGGGTGATAACAACAAAGTGAAACAAGGGCCATAACTCTAGATGTAACAAGCCAACAGTGAGGCTGATGTCCCCCGCCGAAATCCCCAAATAAATAGATGACACATATTAATTAATTGCACATCTATTTTTTTCCAAAGTATCAAGCAATCAAACTGATTATCAACTATACACTAAGTTTCATCACTCTCTATCAGATAGAATCAAAGTTATCTTGTCCCAAAGCAGGAAATTGCTTATCTCTGCTTAGCTTTAGCTCGATATGTTAATCATTGAACTCAGTCAAGACGAACATCTACATCAAGTTTAAACATTCTACCTCAATTAGAAGAAGAGTTGTTATGTTCCAAAGTCTTGACCAATCAAAATGCTTATTGCTCGTTAGCTTAAGCAGAAAATTCTCATCATCGAACTTAGTCAAGGTATTGATGTAATGAAACTATACACCAAGTTTCATCACTCTCACTTAATTAGAACTAAAGTTTTCGTGTTCCAAAGCATCAACCAATCAAATTGCTTATCTCTGCTTACCCTAAGCAGAAAATGCTGATCTTCGCACTCCATCAAGGCATTGACCTCATAAACCCATACACCAAGTTTGAACATTCAAGCTTAATTACAAGGAGAGTTATTGTGTTCCAAAGTCTCGGCCAATCAAATTGCTTATCGCTCTGCTTACCCTGAGCAGAAAATGCTCATCATCGAACTTAGTCAAGATATTGATGTAATGAAACTATATACCAAGTTTCATCACTCTCACTTAATTGGAACTAAAGTTATCGTGCCCCAAAGCATCAACCAATCAAATTGCTTATCTCTGCTTACCCTAAGCAGAAAATGCTTATCTTCACACTCCATCACGGCATTGACCTAATAAACACCTACACCAAGTTTGAACATTCTAGCTCAATTAGAAGGAGGGTTATTGTGTTCCAAAGTCTCGGCCAATCAAATTGCTTATCACTCTGCTTACCCTGAGCAGAAAATGCTCATCCTCGAACTTAGTCAAGGTATTGATGTAATGAAACTATACACTAAGTTTCATCACTCTCACTTAATTGGAACTAAAGTTATTGTGTCCCGAAGCATCAACCAATCAAATTGCTTATCTTTGCTTACCCTAAGCAGAAAATGCTTATCTTCACACTCCATCAAGGCATTGACCTAATAAACACCTACACCAAGTTTGAACATTATAGCTCAATTAGAAGGAGAGTTATTATGTTCCAAAGTCTCGGCCAATCAAATTGCTTATCGCTCTGCTTACCCTGAGCAGAAAATGCTCATTATCGAACTTAGTCAAGGTATTGATGTAATGAAACTATACACCAAGTTTCATCTCTCTCACTTAATTAGAACTAAAGTTATCGTGTCCCAAAGCATCAACCAATCAAATTGCTTATCTCTGCTTACCCTAAGCCGAAAATGCTCATCTTCGAACTCCATCAAGGCATTGACCTAATAAACACCTACACCAAGTTTGAACATTCTAGGTCAATTAGAAGGAGAGTTATTGTGTCCCAAAAAGTGTGACGGACAGACAGACGGACGGACAGACAGACAGACGAACCCATTTTAATAGTCCCCTGCTTTCTTCGAAAGGCGGGGGACAATTAACGGAAATTTGTTGAAACTCAATAGGCGTGTTCCTTTTTTCTAATACATATAAATTTCATACAGATCGGATAATAACAAGGTATAACAAAGTGAAACAAGGGCCATAAATCATGGCGTAATTAACGGAAATTGTTGAAATTCAATAGGCTTCTTCGTTGCACTAATTTGAATGATGTATATCAATTTCAAACAGATCGGATGATAACTGTTGTCATTGGAGCATTCCTAAGATTCATCAAAGTGAAACAAGGGCCATAACTCTAGATGTAATTAACGGAAATTGCTGAAATTCAATAGGATTCTTCTTTTTACTAATTCAAATGACACATATAAATTTCATACAGATCGGCAGATAACTTTAGACGTTAGAGCGTTCACAAGGTGCAACAAAGTGAAATAAGGGCCATAGCTCCAGAAGAAATTAAAGTTATTGAAATTAAATAGGCTTCTTCATCTCACTAATGCAAACAACATATATCAATTTCAAAACAATCAGATGATAAATGTAGTCTGTAGAGTGTTCACAAGAAATTGTGGACGACTGACGGACGGACAGACGGACAGGGGCGACGGCAATATACGACCACATTTCCATGTGGGCGTATAAAAATGAAGTGAATCATAATCAGACTACTTCGAGGCCAAACTTTCTGCGGAGAAAGAAATCAACCAGACTAAGGAAGAAAATTGGCAAAACTTCTGTAGTTCTCTCAACGATAGAACGAGGATGAAAACGGTATGGAACAAGATATCAGGCATCACAGGAAAGAAAGTAAGACAAAATATACTTTTACTCACTTATAAAAATAAAACTGCCTTAAACAGTATGCACAAGGCAAACTTACTATGTCAGACATGCAGACAGCTGTAGCAACAGCCTGCACAATGATGCCTTTACGGCAAACAAAAATAAGTTCTTATATGAGCAAAATAGTGCA